CCACTTGTCCTTTTACAACCGTTCAGGGGACGTATTGAATGTCAAACTCCCCGAGCTCAATAGACCATTTTGCTAGACATCCAAACATTTCTGGCTTCTAAAGAACCTGGTGCCGGGGGTATATCTGTGATCAAAATGATTGGATGTGCCTGGAAATATAGTCTTAATTTCTTGGAGGCAATTACCAATGCAAAAGTGACATTCTCCATTGTTGGATATTGTGCTTCAACTCCTCCTAGTGTTCTACTCACATAGTAGATAGGGTGGTGAATTTTTTAACGCTAGCTCACCAAAATTGCACTGGTTGCCTCCTTTATTATCGACAAAGTATAGGTACAGGGGTTCGCCCTACACATGTCTCACCAAGACTGACGGTTTACTGATGTATTCCTCGAGTGTTTGGAAGACGTTTTCACATTCTGGAGTTCACTCAAAGGCTTTCTTGAGGATTTTAAAGAATGGGAGACACTTGTCTCTAGTTTTGGAGATAAACCTGTTTAGAGTTGCAACTCTCCTAGTAAGTACCTAGACTTCCCTAATATTTCATGGGGATTTAATCTCCACAAGTACCTTTATCTTCTTTGTGTTAGCCTCTATGCCTATTTGGGTCCCCATGAACCCTGATAATTTCCCAAAGGATACCCCAAAAACGCACTTAAATGGGTTCAACTTCATATTATACCTTTTGAGGATGTCAAAGGTCTTTCCCAACTGCTCAATATGCTCTATAGCTTGGAAGCTTTTGATGAGCATGTCGTCGATGTACATCTCCATTGAACGATTGATAATCTCTTTAAATATATGGTTAACTAGCCGCCTGTAGGTGGCTCTTGCATTCTTTAATCCAAACGGTATGACCATGTAACAATAGGTTCCTTCCTCCATTACAAAAGAGGTATTTTCCTAGTCTGGCTCGTACATCATGATCTGGTTATATCCTGAGAATGCATCCATAAAGACAACAATTTGTAACTAGCAATTATATCAACCAAGATGTCAATCCTAGGTAGTGGAAAGTAATCTTTTGGGCATATATTATTCAGATCGGTGAAGGCTACACATAGCCGCCACTTTTCGCTGGTCTTTTTCACTCGTACCATATTAGCTAACCACAGTGGATATTGTACTTCTTTGATGGATTTAGGCCCCAAGAGCTTTGTTACTTCTTCCTTTATTGTGCGATTTCATTCTGGGGCAAAAATTTGTCGCTTTTGTTGGACTGACTTGAAGTTGGGGCTAACATTCAACTTATGGGTGATTATTGTCGGGTCAATCCTAGTCATGTCGGACTATTTCCAAGTGAAAACATCCTTGTTGGACTTGAGAAACTATATTAATAAGGCCCTCAAGTTCTCCTACAACATCCTTCTAATGAAAGTAACCTACTCAGGAGAATCCCCAAGTTGTATGAATTCTAAATCCTCTACTGGCTGCAGGCGTTCTAGCTTTCCTTTGTGATCCATGGAATCTACTTGAAGAGTTTGTTATTGCTTTCCTTTCATGCAGGATACATAACATTCACGGTTAGCAACTTGATCTCCTCGTACCTCTCTGACTCCTTATTTGGTTGGGAACTGCATGAGGAGGTGGTAGGTAGATGGTACTGCCCTCATCGCATTAAGGCTCAAGTGGCCTAAAATGGCATTGTATGCTGATGGGCATTACAGAACCATGAAGTTCTTCATAACTATAGTTTGTCGTGGTGCTGATCCAGCCGTAACTGGTATGATGATAGATCCAATTGGATAGACCATCTCTGTTGAAAAATCGATGAATGATGCAGTTATAGGAACCAACCCTTCTATGTCAATGTTTAGCCTGTTGAAGTCTGGGATAAATATGATATCATCCAAGCTCCTGTTATCGATCAAAACACTTTTTACTGTGTACTTGGCTATCGTTAGAGTGACCACCAACTGATCATCATGTGGATGCTGGACTCCTCTCAGACCTTCTTCAAAAAAGGTGATTAGGGGTTCTATCAAGGGTTTCTTCTGTGGGTTTACCAAGGTCACCTCCAGCTTGTCTAATTTTTCTCTTCGTGCATGCGCTCACTAGTTTCCAGAGATCACTGAAACCTCTCCAAAGGGTTGTTGGTGTTGAATTTCGCTCTAGGGAAGTAGAGTTTCATTCCTCTCTTGACAACAATGTTGTATATACCTCCCTAGATGGCCTTTGTGAATCAAATCCTCTATTTTGTCATTCAAGGTCTGACAATCATCAGTATTGTGGCCATGATCTCGGTGGAAGCGATAGTATTTGTCCCTAGATCTCCTATTAGGAGGAGTTTTCATCTTTACAGGCCACTTGAACACTCTCTCATCTTGTATTTAGAATAGGATTTGCTCCACATAAGTGTTTAAGGGTGTGTAGCTCTGAGCTAGCTCATTGGTATGTGGTCCTAATCAATCCCTCACACTTACCCTCTCGGTGCTATCCTTCTTAGGACTACTTGCCCTTCATCTCCTATTTGCGAGATCTCACCTCCTTTTATCATATCTCCAGTCCTTTCGCCTATCTTCCTGATTTTTCTGATCTAGGAGAGTGTCTTCGGTATTCATATAACATTAAGCTCTCACCCAGAGCTCGGCCATGGAGGAAGGTGATTCTTTGGAAAGAGAAAAGAGGAACTGGGAAGGCTGGGGACCTCCCATGAAGGAGGTCACATCCATTTTTTCATCAATGCTGTCAATCTGCAATAACCCTATTGTGAAACAGTTTACATACTCTTGAAGTGTTTCACTTCTGGATTGCTTGACTGTGGCCTGACCTTTGATGAAATGCGAGATGAAAGAGGTGCTTAACTTTCCAAATGTGTTGATCGAGCCCAACTTTAGCTTGTTGAACCAATGCCTTGTTGTCTCCTTGAGTGTGGCAGTGAAGGCTTGCCACATGATTTGGTCTGGCACATTATGAAGCATCATTGGAGACCTAGAAGTCTTGAGATGGTCGAGTGGATCCTTGGTTCTATCAAACGCCTCAATAGTTGGCATCTTGAACCTCTTTGGGAAAGGGTAATTTGTCGTATCTTGTGAGAACAGCGACTTGGTGTGTTAAACCAAAGCCTCGGTGTGTTGAACCAGAGCCTCAATGGCTTCTAGGACTAGAGCTTTCATCATATTTATGATGTTTCCTAGCATTTCGTTCGCCTCCTAGAATTTTCACTCCCACCGATCACTATTACGGGGATGAAACACTTCGTTTTCACTCAGGTCATCCCCCTAATTATCTGTGACATGTTCCTTGGTTTGAGATTGTTCCAAGAACTCAAAAATCTGCTAGTTTTGCATCTTTAGATGCTTAATAGCTTTCTCCAATCTTTTAACCTTTGCAGATTCCTTTTCTAGCGGGGGCACGTTCCTTCCTCTCGTTGCGTGGGAGTTAGGACGTTCTTGCGTCTGATCAACTATAGGATCCTTGGATGCTCTTATGATCACCATTGGACCTAGATTTTATAGCTGCAAATCAAATCGATTCCCACAAATGGTGTCAATTGTTGTTTCCAAAAAAATAACAGCAAGGTGACGCAATGATCTGGCAGTCGCCGGTGAGTTCTTGCACAGCAGTCGAGGACCAGAGGGGCTCTAGTGGTCGACCCTCCAACTATAAATTCAGTAAAAGAATTATAGATTGGATGGAGCTTAGCTGAGAAGAGTGACTTATCTGGGGCATAGTTCCCTTTTTCCTCTTATAGACTAAACTTTTGTTACCACTGGAGCTCTGTAACTACTTTTCAAATTGGGTAGTAAGAAAAGTGGAACCACCTTCCCCAAGTATCTGCAACTGGTTTGAGCTAAAATGGTGGAATACGGGTGAGCAAGTCGGCGGGTTGATTTGGATTTTGGAGCCGTTTCCCCACACTAGATCCAACTCACCTATTTGTCTCATGATCCCTCCAAGCACATGTTTGTGCTTGGCACGGCTTTACCCCATGACATATTTTACTCCATCATCCTAGATACTAATAATCACTCAATAATCATACGCATCAGTTGAACTCATGAGTCACCACACTACAAAAAAACTAGGCTTTTGAGTCAGACTTTTTTGCTTTGGCAACACTCAATTCATGATTTATCTCCATATTGCTGGGCTACTAGTGCGAGTTAGATTTTGATAACATTGTAGGTAACTCTCTTTATGTTCACAATTATCTCACAGTTTCAATGATTTAAAAGCCAGGAGACAGGTCGATTACCCCTTACAATTTAGAAAATCCTTCTAATTATAATATTATTAGTTATAAATACTCTCAAACTATATTAGTTACTTCTATAAACTTTATAAGAATTTAAAGGGCAAATAATACTTTGATCTCTAAGCTACGAACTCAATTTTACTTTATCCCTTAAACTGTTGAATTTTTTACATTGCAGCAATCGCAAACATTCCCCATCTTTTTGGATAGAAATTGCTAACATGTTGGGACAAAGTGAAAAAATATATATAGGTTGAAGACAAAATGAAACAACTTTTAAATATGTAACAAATGTTAATAATTGAGGCGAAGTGGAACTGATTACATAGATGAGGGTATAATATAAAAATTATGATAGCTGAATGAGTAATATGAAAAAAATTGACATAATTGAGGGGGTAAAAGTATAATTTTCTCGGATTAAAGACTATCCTCTCGGTGATCCATCTTTGTTTTGTTCGATTGGAATAAATATTGAATGCAACGGTGATATCACGTCACTATTGATGACATGATATTATCAATTAATAATAAAACTCAAAATGAGAAAAGTGAACTCCATTTAAACTTATATGACAGAAAAATGAGAGGTTATTTACTTACATGATATGTTAATTATTAATTTTTATGGGGTTCATCTACTTATTTATTTTAGTATTATTAGTTGATTATATCGTATCAAATTACCACGCTATATTACAACGAATATTTTCTCGTTCGACTGGACTTTGTTTAAAAAAGTTATAAATCCCAAGAGAGAGCGAGAGAGAGACCACTGTACTGATAGGTTCATTGACTGTGGCTTGATTTTGTATTACCCCCTATCAGTCTATAAACCCCGCATGTACTAAAAGCTAGTAGTTGAAGAACCTAAAGTGGGATTTCTCTTGCCATCCAAGTTTTTCTTTGCAGACTGAAGAATGCATATATTACAGCAGCTCTTGCTTTCAACCATTCCTGCAGGCTTGGTTCTCCTTGTTTTCTTACCTTTCGGCGGATGCTCATCCCACAATATTCACCAGAACCAAGGCAATACTCACAAAATCATCAAACAAGATGTTTCTAGAGTAAGTACCTCCCCCCCTTTTTTTTCTCTCTCTCTCTCTCCTCCCTCCTCCCTCCTCTCTCCTCATCTGTGTTGAACATGCAGACATGAGGTTCTACTACTCTGAAGTTTAGGGGTGGGGAGAGGTAGATACATGCAGTCTTATTCCCCGTGCAGATGGACTATTTCTGAAACTTGAACTCACTGTATCTATGTAACAATGAAGTATTTGTTCATGTGTTTTAATCCATTAACTTTCTGGAGTAAACTAACAATAATTTGGTTACTTGTGCAGGCGAGTCATCAGAGGACATTTGATATTACACTCCATGGAGTTCTATTATGGGTATCAGTTGGTTTCTTAATGCCTTTTGGGATACTTGCAATTAGAATGTCCAACAGAGATGAATGTGGCCGGACAAGGCTCAAACTTTTCTTCTACATCCATGCTATTTCTCAGGTAGACTTCTGCTTTTGATTCCTCTCCCTGCAATATCATTGGTTTTCCACAACAAAGGTAGATTAGTTCGTTTTCACGCTTAGGTGTCAGTCATTCTCGGTGTGTTCAATTCGGATTGAGAGGAAGGTAAGTCCAGATCTAATATATGAGAGAGGTAAGTAATAGGCAGTCGTGTCTTTATTCTTTATTTTGGAGAGACAGATTCTCAATTTAAACTCGTAATGGATTGCTTAGACGAATGACTACTTGCTATTATTCTAAGCCCGACATCTTATATTCAACCATCAACTTACAACGAAAAGAACATATAAAGTTTATTATATTAACGTGACCAAAATGATCGCTGCCTCATGAGACTTATAAGATGCTATCATTAAAGAACTTGATCTTTGTCAGCTGCATAATCATAGAACACTTTAACTTTACAATAATGGTGGGGAAATTGAAGTAAAAAAGTTCATCTGAGCACCAATAATCATCATGCCTGTGAGCCCACAGTTAGGTGGTGGTATACAAATTTGACCACATACATATATATGTATTCGATAATAAGGGGGCAAGAAGTGGAGTGAATGAGTAATTTTAGTCTAGAAAACTTACTTTCCCACCATCCTCATTCATCCTGCCAAGCTATTTTTTTTCTGTTTTACAAACATTCGGATTCGCAAGATTTGATCTTGTGTAAGATTATTCTATTATAATGACAGTGCCATTAGTTCAAGTCATGGAAGCCATCTCTTCACACACGGAGTAGGATTATATGCATCTGGTTCTCATGCGACCCCTCAGTAACAAAAATCTAGTGTCCTAGATGGTCTTTTGCCTTGTAATATTTATTCGGTGTTGCATAACTAAAATCTCATATAACAAAAGTATCTACCATGGGATTCTAAAGGTTATAGTTACTACTCTTGCTATACACAGGTAAGGAGTGGTAGAATACATGTTCTTCAACTAAATGGTCCAAACCTTTACCTATATATATGCATATCTTTATGTAGATCCTTTCTTTCTTTCTTAAAGTTCGATGATGGTAAGATTGTTTATCACTTATCTCTCTCAAAACCCATTATTGACAGGAGTCTTATGCAATGAATACGGCTTTTTATCCTTTCTTTCTTATTTGCAATTTAATGAACTAAGTGTTGTATGGTTGTAAAGGTGCTCGCAGTGCTGCTTGCCTCTATTGGAGCAGTCCTTTCTATCAAAAGCTTTGAGAATTCATTTAACAACAGTCACCAAAGAATAGGTCTAGCACTTTATGGTGCCATATGGGTGCAAGCATTGGCTGGATTTCGCAGGCCTAAAAGGTAATATACATGTAATTTGATTTTTCCCACAGCTCTGTTAGCTAGCTAGTGTCTGAGTCAATTAAAGACATTTCTGTGCCTGCTGCAGCAGTTCTTAACAAAGAAATTCCAAGTATTAGCTTCATTTTGGTTTCCAATTTTTCGGACACAATATTTTCGTTTCTCTTTGTAAAATAAAGTCGAATAATAGTAACATGCAATTGAAATGTTTTAAATAAAGGTTGGTAGCACTTTTATTTCTTAAAGTATACATTTTTTGTCGGTTTAGATCCTATTCTATCAATTTTGTACCTAAAATATTCAATTCGTGTTATTTTGATTCCTACATAGACAGACTGTTAAGTTTTTGACGGAATGATCACGTGTGTTTTTTTTTTGTTTTTTGGGGAGTGGGAAGCAGAAGGGAGAGGGGGACTTGAACTCTTAACCTTAAGAAGACAAAACCATTACAAGACAAAGAGTATCATTGGACCAAAGACCCATTGATAAATAATCACGTGATATTGTCTAAAAAAAATGACACGTTGTCACTTCCGTCAAAAAATTTGACAGATTGTCTGATTAGGGACCAAAATGACACGAATTGAATATTTTATAGACTAAATTGACAAAATTGATAATATGAGGAATAAACTGACAACAAATATATAATTTAAGGACTAAAGGTACTAATAACCCTTTAAATAATGATTTCCATCTTACTTTTCCCCTCTACAATAGAATTTCTTATATTATCCTTTCAATTACTTGAATTAATTTTATATTATTCTAAAACCAAATGTCCGTTATGTTTTGGATGAAGCGTAACATTTTCATTCGACTTTGAGGCAAAATCACATAGTTTAGGGGCAAAGTAACACAAATTTCCATTAAGTTTACAAAGGAATATTGCAATTTGGACCAATGTGAAAAAAATAATCCTATGGGCAGATGCATTGTGAGAAACATGATATATAATTGAGGGGGTAATGTATGACTGTTGGCATAATTGAGGGGGATTGAAGTGTAATTTTATCTTATGTTTTATTATACTAACTTTTGAGTATTTTAACCCAATTTTTCCTTTTTGCAGGGGAACTAAAGGTAGAACAGTATGGTACTTTTTCCATTGGATACTTGGGACAACAATTTCTCTGGTAGGAATTTTCAACATCTACACAGGCTTAAAAGCCTACCAGAAGAGAACATCAAGAAGCATAACCCTTTGGACCATCCTTTTCACATCAGAGGTCTCTTTCATGGGGCTCTTCTACCTCTTTCAAGACAAATGGGAGTATATACAAAAGCAAGGAGTGATATTAGATATTGCGCCAAACACAGACTCTGATCAAGTGCTTCCTCAGAGGGAAAACCATAAGGAGGTCTTGACTGAACCATGTGCGAAAAGAAATGCACTTGGTAGTTATTTTTCAAGAAGCAATGCCTTGAGAAAATTATTCCAATTAACATGATATTTGGACGTCGTAAGTTCAAGTCACTAAAACAATCTCTCTTCATGCACGGATAAGACGTACGCATGGTTTTCTTTAGACTATGTGTCTAATTCTCTTTTTACTTTTTGATGCTTGCACTCCATGCAAATGAGTATGCACTTTTATATAGAGCAACACAATGAAGTGCATGCATCAAAATGTGAAATTAGAATGGTGTGTCCCTTTCTTCCCCCCGCGAAGACTTCGGATTTTGTGGAGTATGATTTGCTATATATCAAATTTATTCGGTTCACATAAGGCCAAATCACCCATTGTGAATCTAAGTGGATCTTCTAGCCATACATAGAGGGTGCTCTAAATTGAGATAATTTAGTTTTAGAATGGTTTGAATAAGGATTGTGTGGTGTGGTGTGGTGCAGTAAAGGGTATTAAATCCCAAAAGGGAGGCCTTTAGGGAAGTGTTTTGTATAAAATATTTGATAAGTTTGTGAGTAAATTGTATATGACATTAATAAAATACCAATTGTGATAGACTACTATACTATAGTGACTTGATGGCAAGATTAATATCTTACATATATTTCAATGTGGTGTTATTTAGAAAAACAAAGAGAAATGCCTTGAAAATATTTAGGTGGCGGAGGAATTCTATGACAATGGTCGTGGTGTTATTTGTGTGTTTGTGAAAAAATGATAGATACATACAAAATGGTTCTGAAAATAGTCTTATTTTTCATTGGGTCTTCACAAGAAATTGATTCCTCAACTCCATTTCATAAATGAAAAATGATATCAAGAGTAAAGAAAATGCATCCAAGTAGTGGCTTGTGTGTGGTCTTAGATGTAATGTCTATATTTAGCATTGTTGGAGGACTTGTAAATGTACTACTTATAGCAATAACAAGTGTTAACATAGGATCAACCACTTATCACTAAAATACCCCTAGAGGATATGGCTAAGCAGGAAGAAAGTAGTTTTTCATAACATGGAAAATAAAAATTATTAACCCCACGCAAGGATTCAGAAGAAGTGATTGTCTGATAACAAGGGATATACATTTTTATGCTAAACAAGATGTATTGAACTCGTAATCATTAAATACGATACACTTTTTACTCTAAAATGAATCTATCCAAGAAGAAAAAAATATCATAGAGATTTATTATCTTCTCTTTGTATTTTTTTATTTTTTTTTGGCTACAACGTATTCTGGCTTGCGTTGACTATTCTCTAGAGTTTATCGGGTAGCTATTGTGTATGGCTTGATCTGAGTTAAAGCATATCCCTAAATAGATGAGGGTAGCTAGTCCGCAAGGGGTGTGAAAAAGAATTGACTTAAGACCTCTAAATTATCAAAGATGAAGTCGATCCATTCAATCACCCTCAAAGATTTATCTTTCTTTTGTATTATCCATAAAGAATAATGCACATATCCCAAGTACCACAATTTTATGTACATGACAACTTACCCTCCCTCATCTCAAATGGGAGCATCCACAATGTCAAAAACAGTTTGAGTACCCTTTGGACCAAAAAAAACAAAAAAAAATCTACCACAATGAGAGGCGGTACCTTATTTGTGGTAAATTGCAACTTTGAGTTTTATTAGGAAAAAAACACAATAACCACTAGACATTTGTAAAACTATACAATGATCTCAATCCAAGATTTTAATTTAGAAAGGACTCTGTTGCCCTAGGTCAAAATTCACCAAAAAGAGGATGATCTTGGTATTTTAAATATTATTTTTACTCGTTGAATATTTATAATATTTTTAGTCTCCACTGTATGTGTTTGATGTCTATTTGGTTTTAAAAATTTTAATTGTATCTATTTGGTCCCTAAGTATTCTTATTTGTATCTACGTAATCTAATCCAAAATGTTCGTTAAAAAATAGTGACCCTTCTGATCATGCGCCAATCACATGGTTCTTAATTTTATATTTATTTGGTCCCACGTAATTAATGCGTAGCATGAGGAATTAACATTTTTTGGATGAATGCTTGAGATTGAACTGCATAGATACAAATTAGGAACCTTAGGAACTAAATAGACACAATTGAAAGATTGAAGACTAAATAAACACTACACGAGACTAAAAATATTTTTTTACCCTATTTTCAATAAATTTTTTGAGAAGATTTTCGATATTAATTTGGTGGACAATTTCTTTGACATTTTTTTGATGGGCAGAATTTTTCGGAAAATTTTCGTAGTTCAAAAAGAACTAAAATTTTTTGCTAATATGTAAAAAGTTATACATCTTAAGGGTTGTAGTGAAATTTTGGAAATAAAAAGAGATGCAATGAAAATATCATAAACCACAAGGGGGTGTCATCATAATTATCCGAAAAGGAAAAACAGAAGACCCTCTTCTTTGTTGCCCTTCCTCTTTTGGACACACAATTCACAGTGAAAACCTTGCAAACTAGAGTCCATGACTTCGCAAGATCCTCATGTTCATGAGCACCATCATTACCATGATCACGACCACCACCACCATCATCATCCCCATGGCCATGAGTGATATTCCTTATTCTTTTCATTTGAATCAATTTTTTTTTCTCGTTTTTAGAACTAAATCTCATAGGTTTTCTCATTGGATGTTTGTAATGCAACAGAGAATCTAAATGGGATTCACCAACGAAATCGTGGGTGGGTCCAGATGGGAGAGTGTACCATAGCTATGATGGACTGGCACCACATTCGCATGAACCCATATACTCACTTGGCTACTTTAGCAGAAGAGCAGAATTTCAATGAAAGAGCTTTCACAATTGGTATTGGTGGCCCTGTTGGTACTGGGTATTTCTTATTTTGCTTCAATTTTTATTTTGTTATTGCAAATTATATCATGTGGTATATCTTTATATGTTGTGTGTGCGCTTTTGGGCTTTTTCAATTTTACTTTTATTGGATATTCCAAATCATATATTTGTCTGTTAGTTATCTTGAATGACTATTAGTTAGTGCAGTTGTTTACAGGGTTCTATTTATGATTTCTGGTTTTTTTGATGTCTATGTAGTTTTTGGCCTATTAATCTTAGCTCCATTTGATAAATGGAGAAATTCTTGCTAAAGCAATATTAATTCCACCACCCTGCACTACTATTACTACTGCTGACATATTCTATCGCTTTTTAAGTTTACATTAGAAAAATGACTTCTAAGATGTTGATAGACATAAATATCAGTTCAATTAGTAAAGCTCCCAATTACTATTTTAACACAATAACCCTGTGCCCTCCAATCATTAATGCATTTGAAAGGATTCTGGCATACAATACATGAAGTAAAAAAGTCAAAAGATACTCGGTAGATAACATACCGCAACAAGACTATACTTGTCCCCAAGAATTTACACAAAAAAAAAATTAAAGCTATTTCCTGTGTGGTATGAAATAACATTTCATTAATTATGGATAAAAGTCTATTTCAATAAAATAATAATAATTAATTGTATAAATTATGGGTATATAAACGTACTTTTTTAAAAATATTTATCCGGCCGGCGAGACAGAGAGAGTGAGAAAAAAAAAATGAGTTTTTATTTTTTTTTCTCTTTTCTTCCTTCTCAGATCTACGAAAATTTAACCGTTTAATCGCTTCGGGCCAAGAACTAAAGTTGCTCTACTCAGTGAGAGCTACGCAACCACACCAAATATCGTATTTTTCTCCGAAGGAATATCAAAGCCGATAATCTAGGTCTGAAACTTAGGAAGCTAAATTTGGGCTTCTTTGGCGTTCTAGTAAGTGGTCTCACGCTACGAGAGGTAGGGTTTCCCCTATTTAGATTTAATTTCAACTTAAAATATGACATATGGAATGAGTAGATTATGAGTGTATATCACATGTTTGGTCTTGACTAGTGGGTCAAATATAGAATTTATAATTAATCTTGTGATTAAGAAAATTCTATTGTGATTAACTTGGTGTAAGTTAATGTTAGTAGTTTAAAGCATGTTAATTGTATGTTAGCATTACTTTATATTTTAATGACAGATCAAGTTTAATAAAATTATTAACTTGTTATATGATTGTGAAATAATATATATATGTTAAATGATTATTTAACATATGATTATTTTGGTGGACTTGTGCTTATGTTAAACATGTTGTCATGTTGCAAGTCATAGCATGTTAGTTGTGTAAATTGATGTACTCTTTAGGTGTTTGATTAAATGTCTAGGTGAATACAAGTATGTTAGTTGAGTTGATTATCTTACATAACATGCTCGAGATCGTGTTAAAATGTCATTATATTGTATTCATTATGTAATAGACATTGTATTTCATTATGCATGAGTTGCACTACATTCATGGGCATTGACATGGGTGGGAGTGTATGCATGGTATGAAATCAATCACCACGTAGGTGGTTGAACGTGGACTCGGAAAAGTCGCACCAAGGTTCGGTTGAGTCGCACGAGAAATTAAATGATAAATGTGTTGGAGACAGCAAGAAGGGCTAGATTCTCCCTCGGGTGCAAGACCCGCTTACTTGGTTTATACACTTTCTGGCGGTGAAATTCCAGAAAAGTGTAACGGCGGAAACGGAGCCGCAGGTGGGATGTCCTGAAGATCCGTTGATGGTTGGTGTCCCATTGGTGTAATACCATAAATCACCTCCCCACAAAGACACAAGAAAATGAATTAATTAGTCATTGAGTGTACATAACACCAATGATGGGGGCTTGAAATGCTCGGATACATACGCATGACATTGCATGTGTTATGGGAGCTCAGGATGGGGCTCGGGTTGGTATTGCTTGCGTGAGTCTCATCTCATGGCATGACATGATTTATAACATTCAATCATAATAGACATATTTGAATGAATGTATCAAATGATTGTTGCATGTGACATTCCATATGCATTTAGGTTGAGAGGTATTCTCTATAGGAGTTACCCTATTGAGCGTTGACTCACCCTTTATGGGAACATTTTTCAGGTATCGCACAGGCGTCCACCGAAAACGAGGCCATGGGCCCGCTTTGACGACAGAGCCGGTCTGTGACTTTTATTTTGACATTGTAGTCCCTTGTTTATACTTACTTTTGGCCTTGTATAATTTTTGTAACAAACATTTGGCATGTATATGAGACTCTTTTGGGACATTTATTCTTTTACGAATAAATGTATGTATTGATAATGATTATGGTAGTATTCGAGACTATACAATTGTGAATGGATAGATAGACCCGGTGTGGTCAATATTGTACAGGTTGCGTTTTGAGTAGAGCTCCTCGTACAAAGGAGACTCTGTCCAAATTTTGTTAAGTTATGGATCCCGAAAAATGGGGCATAACGGTGTGGTATCAAATTACACGATATCCACTAGTATTACACGGGTCGATGGATAATCAATCGGATAATTACAGACACCCGGATTATGGGGTGTCACAGCTTGGTATCAGAGCCTAGGTTCACGATTTACCTAGGGCTTACAAGGCATGGGTTTAAGTCATTGCATCCAGTTTGCATTGCATGTTAAATGTATTAAATCTTTCATGCTATGTGTTATGAGATTATATGCATGATTAAATGTATATAGGAATGAGGTACTATGATTAGAAACCATAACATTAGAGTTGGGAAGGAAAATGATGTGTAAGCCTATTGTTTGCACATTTACCGATAGGTATATATTCTACTGTTTTAACTTTGATCCCTAACTTTGGGATACTAAGTTACTGGTCTATTGGTATCTTATGTGTGTGTAGATGGCAACAAGAGGAAGGGGACGTCGGGGTGGACGAAACAACCAACCACCACTACCGACTTTTGATCAACAAGCCTTTATGGAGGCTATGGGCGCGATGACCGCCACCTTTTGCAAGCCAGTTCTAATGTGGGCCAAAGAGGCTCGAACAACCTGCAGAAGTTTAGGTCCCACAACCCACCAACTTTTGTAGGAGGAGGGGATCCGATGGTAGCTGATAATTGGTTCCAACAGGTGGACAAAATTTTGGAAGCAATGGAGATTGCATCTGATGCCACGAAGATACGATTGGCCACTTTCCAGTTTGAGGGAGACGCCCATCAATGGTGGACATGGGCAAAGCCGATAGACATTGGAAGGATGACATGGGGAGAGTTTCAAGAACTCTTCATGAAGAAATATTTCCCACCAGCTGTTCGGGAAGTCAAAGCCCATAAATTTCTAAACTTGAAGCAAGGAGCGATGACGGTTATGGAGTACGTGGTCAAGTTCACAGAATTGCCACGTTTTACGGATGACTACGTGGCCACTGATTTGGCCAAGGTGCGGAGGTTTGAAAATGGCCTAAAGCTATCCATCCGCGGGAAGATTGTTGGCCACAAGTTGCACGACTTTGATGAGATGGTCGAGACAGCCATGACTATAGAGAGAGAGGTGGAAGATGCCAAGAGGATTCGGGAGGCTGGATCAAAGGACTGGAAGAAGGAGGGACAGTCCTCCACTACTAGCTCGGGGAAGATACAGAGGATTTCTACCCTACAGGGATCACAAGGACAGGGTCGAGGCTATCAAGGTCAAGGCCAAGGCCATGGTCAATCTTCCCAAGGCGGGAGGAATTCCAGGGGTACACAACAGGGAGGCCCACAGATATGCTACTATTGCCACCAGCCAGGCCACTTGAAGAGAGAGTGTCCTCAGAGGCAAGGATCATAGAGCTACGGGGCATCTCAGTCTCAATCATCAGTGGGGCATCCACAGACCTACTTCATTCCTCCCTACCCCACCAGGGGACAGGGAAATCAGTTGCAATTTCAGGGTACGGCACAGGCCCCTACCACTTCACGAGCGGGGACTCCGCAGTCAGGCCAAGGCATGGGCCGAGGCCGGGGACAGGGCTTTTAGGTCGGGACTTCAGGGACCCAGGGGCGAGTCTTCGCCATCACACCACAGACTTTACCGGCAGATCAGTCAGTAATTCAAGGTACATTTCTTCTCTCTAGATTATGGACAAAAATATTATTTGATTCTGGTGCATCACATTCTTTTATTGCTACATCATGCCTACGAGACTTGGGTATAGAGGCCGAGACTCTGGATGAGCCCATGCATTTGAGTTCACCCCTAGGAGACAGAGTTTGTATTGACAAGATATGTCGGAGTTGTGAGTTGGAGATCGAAGGAACCCAACTTACTGTTGACCTTAGGGTTATCGAGATGACGGAGTTCGATGTCATACTCGGGATGGATTGGTTGGTGGCACATAAAGTCGTCATTGATTGCGAGCGTAAGAGGGTTACAACTTACACTTCAAACGGGATTTGTTTCAAGTTTCAGGGGGAGAAACACAATGCCTTACCCCATGTCGTATATGACTCCCGATGGCATGGGCAATTGATAGGTTGGCTTGCTAGCCTTACACTGGAGGACGAGGAGAGACAGAAATTGGGTCTGCCTCGAGTCGTGTGTGACTATGCGGATGTCTTCCCGGATGAGTTACCAGGGTTACCACCGCATCGGGAGGTAAATTTACTATAGAGTTACAGCCTAGTGTATCCCCTATTTCTATGGCACCACATAGGATGACACCAACGGAGTTGCAAGAACTTAAAGTCCAGTTACAAGAGTTATTGGACAGAGGCTTTATTAGGTCGAGTACTTCACCTTGGGGTGCTCCGGTACTATTTGCCAAGAAGAAGGACATGACGCTTAGGCTCTGCATTGACTATCGACAATTGAATAGGGTCACTATCAAGAATAGGTACCCTTTGCCACGTATTGATGACTTGTTTGACCAGCTGAGAAGGGCACGGGTTTATTCCAAGATAGATTTGTGCATGGGGTACCATCAGTTGAGGATTAGGGATGTCGACATTCCGAAGACGGCATTTCGAACGCGTTATGGGCATTTTGAATTTATTGTGATGCCATTCGGATTAACGAATGCCCCAGCGGCATTCATGGATCTCATGCATAGGGTATTCCAGCCCTACCTAGATCAGTTCGTTGTGGTCTTTGTTGATGACATACTGATCTACTCCAAGTCTGAGGAGGAGCATGAGGGTCACTTGAGGGTTGTTCTCCAGACCTTGAGAGACCACCAGTTGTATGTCAAGT